TGAGACGTTTCATGCATGCAAACCCTTTGATGCTCATTTTTGTTTTGTTTTGTTTTGTTTGACTTGGTTTGGTTTGATTGTTTTTTCTGGGAGAATGAGCCAGCTACCCCAACCCGCTCCCATAATTATGCCTTTCGTCACGTTTGCCACAAGAGGCTGAATAGTCTAGCTGCTGTCAGAGCCTCAGAGATGCTTCCTAACATCAGTCCAACAGACAACAAGTCACAAAGATGCTATTCTTTGCAAACAACAATGAGGTTCTTCTCGGGCTTTTGATGGGTAAGGACAGATATTTAGAGGGAAAGCTTTTATGACTGCTAATCAAAGAAAAGAGGCATTTTTAAAAGGAAAATTTATCAGGAGTTTTCTACAGGACAAACGGCATGACCTGAGGCTTTGTTCCTGGAGGCGTGTCTTTTAAGGACAAAGGATGCTATGGCAGAACTGTCTGAGTCTCCCCTTCCCCATGGGTCCGACACAGTCCTTACCACAGACTCCAGCCCACTGTGGAGGTACTGATGAAAACAGTCAATCATCTCACACTTATTTGGCACCATCAGTTCCCCTGGGTGTCATTTCCCTGCTTCTGAGCTTTGGAGGAATTGCTGTTTTGCCTGCTAATGACATTAACAGGAGACCATGTCTCTATTAGCAGTGGCCATTTTTAGCTAACACAGTTGGTCCAGAAAGCTCCGGGCTCAAACATTGATGTACCAGGAGTCCTTTACACAAACTACTGTTCACACTGGTTCTGGCAGTGAAGGATAAATGTCCTTGGGTGTGTGTTTATGCACAATCACACACATGCATGCGTGCACACACACACACACACACACACACATACACACACACACTCAACCATACTTCATCTGTCGGTTTTTATTTCCCATGGAACCCGCTGACCCTTTTACCTTTTTTTAGGCAATCAAGTCAGAGCTCAGGGTGGCCTGCCCCACCTGCCTTGGTGAGACCACCTCCACAAACTCTGGCCACACTAACTTTTTTGCCATCTGTTGGCCTCGAAGATTTGGTGAAAATTAAAACCCCAGCATCATTTCATCCCAGGAATGCTCACTAGTGAAGTGTTTGCTTTAATGACTCCATAATGCCATGCCCCTCACTGGGCTGTTTTATTGTGAGGCTTAATCAAAGGCCCAGAGAAATAAAGATGTCTAGCTCAGATGCAGGTGTTTCTTTGTCCAAGTGCATTCCTGGGGACAGGGAGGCAGTGTGCGGGAGTGGGAGCCGTATATGAAGGCTGAGCTTCCCAGGTTCTGGGGTTGTTAATCTGTGAGTCTAGAGGTTTCTCTGTGTCTCTGTGTAACTGGCATAATTATATGTGCTATGTGTGAGACAGGGGAGAGGAATTTGTCAAGGAGATTTCTGGGATGGGAATCACACATGTTTGTAGTATAAGTATGATCGTATGTATATGGAGGCATAGAGAGATGTCTGTGTGAATGTGGTATATGTGTGTTGAATATGTGCCCTGTCTGGGTGTGCACATGTGATATGTGTGACATATGTACAAAAGATAAATATTTTCAGGAAAATTTTCATGTGCTGTATGTGTGCACGTAGAAGACATCATAGAGTGTATATGCGACGTGTGCATTCATAAGCTCCCTTTTCTTTGTTTGTTTGGGGGCACAGTCCCATGTAGCTGAAGCTGGCCTTAAATTCATGATCCTCCTGCCCATACCTCCCTAGTATAAGGATTAAAGAGTGTGCCTCTGAGCCCAGACTACTTATGTTTTCTCTCGTGTGTGGTATGAACACAGATAAAGTATATTCATGCATGTGATCTATATGTTCATTGTTAGTGTGTGGCATGTGTGCATACATGTACTAGTACACCTTTATGTAGCATATGTGTGCTTGTGGTGGTTATGTAAACACATGAACATGCATTCACAAGACTACATACAGCCAGTCTTCATATCTGCCGGTTCCATGTCTGAGGGTTCAACTGTATTGCACCTTCCAAGCAATTCAGAGATGAAGTCTGCTAGAGCACATGCAGATGCTACATGCAGATGCTACCTCATTTTAGATAAGGGACTTTAGCATCCTAATACTTTTGCATCCATTGAAGCAGTTGTTAGAAACGAGTCCCCTGCAGATACCAAGGAATGAAGGAACACATCCTCTGCAGAATTCTTTATGGATCTTGGATTCAGTTGTATCCATTGTATGGAAGTGTAATTTGATGGGCACATGTTTGGGTCTTGTGGCCATATACAGTATATGGGAGCCAACCAGAGCTATTTAAGAGAAAAAGACTAAATGCCAGCAGCACCAAGGCCATGATGGTCACTCTCTTTGGCATTGTTTTTAGACAAGGAAAAAGGAAGGAAGAAGAATCCAAAGACTCTGAAATTTTGGACCTTCACCTTGATATGAACGCTGTGACCTTAACACTGGTGTAATCACATGTTTTCCTTAAAGGTTCAGACTTTATTGAGCAGCAGGAGTAAGCTCCACAGAGCTGAAACCGTCAGTTTGCTCACAAACAGGCTCTATCAAAGAACTTGCCTGAGTTGAGTTATGAACTAAAAGGCCAGCCCCCCACAGCTCCAAAGGGCAGAGCAGCCCTGCTGAGTTTCTGACACAGGAAGGAGGATGCTAGGAAATAGAGAAGGCTGGACTTGCACACACAATGACTTTCTCCCCAGGGTAGAAGGCAAGAAAAATATACAAGGCTTTCTTCCTGACTCTTCTATTCTCCAAGAGTAGAAGCTCCCATCTCATGAATAGGGGGTGGGAAAAGAGAGGGAAGTAGGAGAGATGGAAAGGAGGGAGGAGGAAGGTAGAGGGAGAAATAGTTCTGCAGTTCCCAAGGTTCTGCTCTTTCAGCCCATGGTCAACCAGGAACATGCACGGAGTCAGCAGTTACCCAGGAGGCCCTCATGAGGTCTTGTCTCCAAAACCAGTCACCACACTGTATACCTCCACTTAAGACTGTTGCTGAGCAATTTAACTCAATCTTGGCAAAGCCTGGCCATAAATAACTCCTGTGGTATAATGGAGGCACAAATTTCATTCCCAGTTCTAGTCTCACATCAAACCATGTCTGGCAATATCAAAGGAAAGCCATTCCCATGTCCTTAAATTTCTACATAGCACTAAACCCTTCTCATGGAATAAACTTCCGGGCTCCCTGCCCCGGGATCACATCTACTGTAATAGAGATGATCTGTACATCTGGCTGATCAGCTGGGGAAATTCATGGTTGCCACTTGGGCAAGTTACATTGCAAGCTTCCTCAAAGGCCCCTGTTCTATTTGCAACATGGGGAACCCTACAGCTGTCCTAGGAAGCCCCTGAACCAGACACTCTCCACTGTAGATTGTTCCAGTTCTAAACTTCAGTAGAAAGGCAGGAACCCTGCTTGATAATAATCCTAATCTAAGTTCTACCAACCGAAGTCCCATGACTATAATTCCAGCAGGCTATGGGGACTTTCCAATAGTGTTAATAACATTAGGGAACCACTGTAACACACATGATCTGTCATCAACTGCTGTCATTGTGTGTCACATGACTGAATTCATTTGCATCAATGTGCTTACCTCTCTGAACCCCCTGCCATTCGCCCATGTTGCTGTTGTGGTCCTTGATACTTCACAGAGAACATTCGGAACGGTATCTTTCTACTCTGTTGGGAATTTCTCAAAGACAGAAATTTCTGTGCCTTTATAAAATATGACTTCACATGTTCTGTCTCATTTAATCCTCACAACAAACAATAATTATCTCCATTTTAAGTCGGAGAGAAATGAGCTCTGGGAGGCTTAAGAAACATGTCCTGTTTACACAGGGCAAACCACAGAGCTGCCCTTGCTCTCACGTGACTCAAATCCAAGGCCAGGTCACTTTATCACGCAGGGAGCAAGGAACCTGAGCCACCCTTGTGTCGGCTCCAGTCTAACACCTCGTGGCACATGGATGGAACAAAGGGGAAAAGCATTTACAAAGTAATTGTTTGATAAATAAAGCCAGGGTTCTGACTTCCTGTAAATTCATATCTGTCTCCCACCTTGAGATCACACTGCCTCCAGAGAATGAGTACAATAGTCTAACTTTTTCAGAAAAACAATTTCTAAATGTACCGGCTTCCTGTTTCATAGAAGGCACATACTCAGCTGAAGGAGGAAAATTGTGGTTTGTATCCCAAAGAGGTTCTCACACAAGTCCTGGAGGAAGATGTTCACTGCGGCATTGTTTGTAGCGGCAGGAAATTGGAGAGTCATTACTGGAGGAGAGGCAGAAGGAGATAGATGTTAACCCTGAGGATATGGCAATCAGAAGGATGGATGGTAAGCAGACAGAGAAACATGGGCAGTTATTAAAGGCAAAGTGCTGAGTGCAAAAGAAGGAAAACTAGACTTAGGACCATGACACCTTACAATACCATCAACAGAAACTGAAACGCATATCCACAAGCACAGTACGGATTTTGCTGGTGTGATCAGAGATAAATGCATGAGTTCAGCAAGGCATGGTGGTTCATATCAGCAATCTAGAACTCTAGAGGCCGAGACAAGAGGATTAGCACAAGTTCAAGGTCAGCCTGGGCTACATAGAGAGTTCCAGATCAGCCTTGGCCTCAAAACCTGGTCTCAAAAAAGAAAAAAATCAGCACAACAATACAATAAAAGCATGATATTTAAAATTCAGCTGCCTGAGTTCAAATCCTACATTACTGCTTAATAGCTGTGTGACCTTGGCCTTGTTAGTTAACCTTTCAATGCATCAGTTCTTTTGTCAGTTAAATGGAGATAATAAAGATAATTAACTCATAAAGATATGAGAATTAAATTATTGCATATAATCTATAACTAGACCTAGCATATAATAAACTGTGTACAAGTATTACATAATATCACATATTATAAGAAAAGGGACAGTGAAAACATACATAAACAATTAGTATGACTGTGTATGAGGAATAGGAATGAGAACGTAATTTTTAAAAGAATAAATGGTAGACAAAAGGATCATTACACAGAATAGTGATACTAATTTATCATAAACTGGAGAGTATAATTAATTTAATCCTCTTCCATTAGTGTTGTTTTAAGAACACTAGAATTCATATCCACTGAGGAGGGACTTCTCACGATCTGTTGATGCCTGCACTGTGTCCAGCTGTGGTTTCCTGTGATGGTCCTTCTTTGATGAAGGGTGGTAGCCACACTCTCCTGTGGATGTAAGGATAAGAATGTAGTTAGGGATTGTGCTGGTCTAATGAAGTGATGGTAGCACATTCTTTTCTAAGGTCCATGACCTCACTAGACCCCAGATCCTAGCTAGGTTTTCAGTACCAGGCATGATCTCCCTCCAGCTAAGTGGACCTTAAGTCCAGTGAGACAGCTTGTTTGCTCCTGACATGAGAGTGGCACTTATTGTACCTTCATGCATGTCTTGACATTCTGATCAGTGTCATGGTTTGTAAGCAGTACAGTTGTGTTGGGCTGTCTAATTGCTTCCTGCCCTTGGTAGCTTGCATAGCATTTTCTGGAATCATGGAAGCTAGACCACAGAAAAGTCTTTCAGATCAGATTCAGATCTCTAAGTTCTGTGTCCTAAGCGAACAATGTCTTCAGCAATGGGGGCCAATACTCAACCCCAAAGGGTGATTGAGGGTTAAATTGATTAAATTGACTACCCTGACCACCATTCAAAAGGTTTCTCATGTCTGGTACTGGGGGTTTTGTTAGTCTATGGTTCTTATAGGAAGCACTGTCAGCCCAAGTGGCTTAACATCCTTTAAAGGGTGTGTGTGTGTGCGCCCGTGCACATGCAGGCGCACACACACACACAAGCACGTGAGCACTTATATGTACCGTGTGTGATTTTAAGAAAATATAAAATAAAATTCATCTATGGCTCAGAGAACATGATGATAGAAGATGAGGCAAAAAGATGGAAAAATCCAGAAGATCAGAAAGTCTGCTGTGAAACAGTCTTTCCAAGAAATGGCTGCATAATCAAGACTGGAACTAAGGCAATACCGATGGACATATTGATATTGAAGGGGAAATTTTTATAGGGTCCTACCTCTGAAATAAGAACTGCAGATGACTGATGACTACTGGGAGAAGGAGAACTAGCCTCTCCCAGGGATAATCCCCTTGTTGGTTGTCCAATGCAGAATGGCTAGCCATGAAACTATATACATACCAAAAACAAAAATGAACTCAGCAGGTGTTTTTGCATATGTGTATGTATGTGCATATGTAACAATAATAATGAAAAAGGCTATCAACTTGAAAATGAGGAAGAAATGGAAGATGTTCAACATAGGGTAGCTCAGAGGGGTTGGAAGGAGGAAAAGGAAAGGGGAAAGTGATGCAATTCTATTTCAATTACAAACAAGAACACTAGGATTTGCTATAGCTGTGGAGGCCATTCAGGACTTCTTCCTGCTAGAGTGTTAGGGAAACCTTTCCAGAGAAAGAGAGAAACGCAGAAGCCCATCAGCCTTTTGTACAACTATTGATTATTTATTCATTAAAAGGTCACCAGAGGCTCACAGAAAAGAAAGACCAAGAAACAAAACAATCCAAGCACTCTTCACCTCCAAGTTAGCAAGCATCTCATGATCACAATATCTGATACCACAGCCAAAATGGCTGTTCTCTGAGGTGAGCCAGCAACTTCACATGGACAACGAGTAAGCATGAAGTAAATTATTCAAGAGATTGAAGTAGGCAGCTTTTACAGTGAATCTTAACTTTATCAAACTGTTAATAATTACTGAACCAAAAAATAATAATAATAATTACTGAACCAGCAGCAATAAGGGGCAAACACAAAGCAATTTGGTTATCCTGAGGGTATGGTGCTGATTTTGAATATATGTGTGTTGGTACAAACATCAAATACATAGGTCGGGTGTTTTACTACCACAAACTATCTTGAAACCCAGTGCAAAGGGATGTAATATTACTCTACCATTACTATTGCTAGGGCTCTTGCTATTCAAAACTACCATGGCCAAATCAATGTAGAGTTTAGCATATTGAAACTACATCTGCTGACATTATGTCTTCTCCATTGATGAATAATGTGAAATCAAAGCTTTGACTTGGCCAGTCTTTTTATTGAACCCCAAAAGTCATGGTAGTTTTCCTTCCTCGTTTTGATAAGGTGGAATTCTTTTAAATAAATTCTTGTGAGGAACTCATATTCCCTTTGTGCCTTGATTTTGGCTTTTAATATGCTCCCTTAAAAGCCATGTGGTTGTATCAATGTGATAGTTACCTTTTATTGTCAACTTGGTACAACCTAGAATCATTTGGGAAGAAAGTGTCAATGAGGAATTAGCTAAATTTGGTTAACCTGTGGGCATAATCACTTGGGAAGACTAAGTCCACTGTAGGTAACCCCATTCCCTAAGCAAAGAATCCTGAGCTGTGTAAGCATAGAGAAGTCAAACTAAGCACAAGAAAGCAGATGAATATGTATATATTCATTCTCTGTTCATGACTGGATATAATGTGGCTATCTCTTTGAAGTTCCTGTCTTGACTTCTACACAGCAGACTGTAACCTGGAACTATAAGCTGATAAACCCCTCTTCTCCCCTAAGTTGCCTTTTGTCATCATATTTTAACAGAAACTAGATCAATAGTCATTAAAAAATAATTGCTAGAACTTATTAAGACTAAGTTTTTCTGGCAGTGGCTGAGCCCCCACCACTCTCCCCCCCTCAAAAAAAAAAGAACTGCTTCAGAAAACTAAGAAAGTATATCTTCTCTCCATAGCACGTGAAGCCCAACACTAGTATGGCAGTGACACAGTCATCAGGGACCTTGGTTTATCCATCCTAAATGAGGTCTATGCTTTGGGGTCCCACTGAGTCTTCTAGAGTTCCAGCCATTGTATCAATATTCCAGGTAGCAGAGAAAAAAAAGGGAAGAAGAGAATCCATCATTTCTCTTGAAGGAAATGCCTGATAGGTGACATAATCTACTTTCTCTCCCATGCCAATGTCCATGATCATACCTATGTACACCTTACAAAAAGCCTGGTTGGGAAATATAATTGCTATGCCAAGCAACTATGGCTTGGAATTCATGAGGGATTTCTATTGCAATTAAAGAAAAGGAGAGTGGATTTTGGAAGATAATCACCAACCTCTGTCATATTATTTCAAAGTGAAACAATAGTATTGTTTTATATAAACTCATTTTCCATGTTGGGATAACAGTACAGTTCCCAAAGGTTACCATTTCTATCACCAAGAGAACAAAAGTGGACAATAATATTAGTATATTTCCACTATTCAGGAAATATATACATTGGTATGTCAACATGTGTTGTCTCATTCATTTCTTACTACAGGACTTCATCCTCCTCCATTAAAGGAAACTGAGGCACATGGCAATGGAAGCATTTAAGACCCCTCCTAGTTTCTCACCTATGGAAAGGGCTCAAGTAAGTTTTTCTCCTCCTTGGACTAACTTTCCTTACTCCATTCTCCCCACAGTCAGGATCTTTTAATTTTTGAAGCAAAAATCAGATTCTTCCATGTGTCTGTTGACAAGCAATTTCCAATATTCAAGATGTGGAAGAGAAGGTTCCAAGCCCATTATGAATCACGCTCTTCATGCCCCATCGGTATCCTGATGTTTTGCCCAATACCACTTGTTCCCGTGTCACAGAAGGTGACACCCAACTTTCAGGCTATGATAATCCAGCAATCCTTCCTTCCTTCCAAGTCTGAGGTGTATATCCTCTAACACTGGAATTTGAAGACAACTGAACTCATAATGAAAGCAGATGAAAATCATTGAGTGCTGATAACCTTGAACTCCTAATTTTCATTCACCTGTGTCTCTTGTGCTGTGATTACAGGAGCATGGCTCCATTTTGAGCTTCTTCTAATTGCTTCAATTATTTGTAAATGGTCTGATCTATATTTAGTACAAATGTTGTCACATAGGAACCCAGGATGATAGAAAGGTGTTTGTGACTTATTGCTACAAGAAACAAATATTTCACAGTGGGTTGTTTTGTATGGACCCATTTCTGCATAAAATTGAAAAATCAGACCAATGAATGGGGAGAGAAGCTTATACTGGGGTTAACAGTGGCTGTTGAGGGGCTGGAGAGATGGCTCAGTGGCTAAGAGCACTGGCTACTCTTCCAGAGGAACAGTGTTCAACTCCCAGCACCTGTATGACGGCTCACAACTGTCTAATTCGAGTTCTAAGGGATCTGACACCCTCACACAGACATCCATGTGGGCAAAACACCACTGCACCTAAAATAAAAATAAATAAATCATGAAAAAAGACAAGGAAAAATGAAATCCAGAATTAAAACAAAAACAAAATAAAACAAAAAAAAAGAAATTCATTGAGTGCTTAATATATCCTAATGATAGGTATGCTCTTGGGTTAGGGTAGACTGCTATAATTGTTATTCTTCTCATTTTACAGATGAAAAACCACAACCTTACAAAGACTAACTTTTCCTAGTTCTTAGCTTGAAGGAACTAACAATTGAGGTCTTGTCAACCCAGCATGTTATATGTGTCCTCAAGCAATCATAGGTCAGTGAGATGAACAGAAATGTACCTTCAGTCACACTTCTAGGACTGGTTGTGACCCAGCTGTTACTGATCTAACAGAGAGTTACCAATTCTATACTCAGAATGTATGATTTTGGATCACCTTATATTTTTACACATACTGTCTATCTCTCTACCTGGGGAAAGAATGTCCTTCATCCTTGCTTCCTTCATTTCTGATGTAATTCTTAAACTATAGTGTATGACCAGGAAATATCCCATGTGCTGGCTAACCAGCTCTGTAAACTCAAAATAAGGAATGGGTACCCAGACAACTATGGCAATTTGGGCCTAAGTCCCTATTTTCCAGATGAGATGTTACCTGCCTGGATTTCTATCATCTTCAGTTTTTACCTCAAGGCATTTGAAAACACATGAACAACTTGGACGTTACCATCCCAGTGAGCAGTGGCTAGTCAATTTTTAACCTCTGGGGTACTTTCTAAAGATCAGGGAACAGGCTTGATCATGTGGCAGAAAGCAGTCATAAGGTGGACATTTCTGAGCAGTAAAAAGCTCTGCAGGGCTCAAAACTAAAGTTATTTTCTTACTCAAAAAAAATTGTTAATTGGAGCCAATGGGCTACTGACTTTTTTAAGAGGACATGAAGGTGAGGGAGGTTGAGCGGTGAGTAGATCCAGGAGAGGTAAGGGTATGAGTTGGATGTTGTCTTTATATCTATGGTACAGCAGCTACACCTGATCTTATTGCTGCCTCAGCGACTGACTGAGCTTCCGCACCTGTAGCCTCCACACAGGGAGACAAATTTGTTTTAACTAAGTCTTTATCCTTTTATTTTAGTGATAAAGACTAGAAAGCCAGATGCTGGGGGGATCCAATCCTGCTAGATCAGAGAGACAGAGAAAGTAGCCAGCTGACTTCCCTCCTTCACGGATATCCTACACAGAGAGAGCCTCTCTTCAGCCATCCCAAAACAAAAAGGACTGCTACAATGCAAAGTCCCTCCCTACTACTTCCTGTGTGTCTCTCTAGCCATCTTCTTGGCCTCCTCTTACTCTGTATGTCTACTTCCTGTTAACTAGTTGCTTGCTCTGCCTCTTGACCTATGGTTGATTTTATTTAATAATGTTTACAATAAACAGAAAGTTCTCGAATTAATGGTGTATACTAGGGCTGCGCCACACCATGGGTAGAGGCAGGTTTTTCCAATAAATAATGCAATCTTGGGTTTCACAATGTGATCAAATATTCTGCAACAGTCAGAGGTGAATATAGCCAAATACTTTGTATTAAATTCTCTAAGAATTTATAAAATATTTTTAAATGCTTGTCAAATGCCTAAAATTCCTCCCTTTCTAGCAGCACAAATGAAGACAAGTCAAAGTAGATATTTGCAATAAGTGGCAAACAGGTCATTTTCTTTTTGCAATAACAAATGGGGAAAAAATGGAGTTACAGAAATAGAACTGATCCATTAATGAAGTTCAAATACTTGAAGTCTCTTAGATGAACAGTTTCAAAGAGGAGTCTCTGTAGTTGGATGCCAATCTGAATAGTAAGAGACTTACAAAAAAAACAGACTGGAAAAAACTTGAATCCAGATAACAGACCCAGAAAATATATGTTGCCTAGTGTGGAAATACATGAAGACCAACCAAATGAGAACATGCAGACTCTTTTCAGAGCCTTTTACAAAGCAGAGAAGCCAGACACTGCCACAGCATTTGGCAAAGACTCAAAGGTAGGCAGAGGAGAGGGATCACAGTATGGAAGGGAGAGAAAGAGCTCTAGGCATGCCCTTCTGGACATCTGTTGGCCTGTGGAAGCCAAGGCAGACTCCCGAGAAGCAAGGTATCCTATATGGCTAGTTAGGGATGTATAGTTGGCTTTCCCTGGTTGGTCTTAAACTGGAAATAGGGATGAAAATTATGGAAGCTGTCAGGTATTACTCATGTCTCAGCCATTTGGGGCCAGTCGTTACAGTATGATTATTTGCCTTCCTGGACCTGTTGTTAGAGATGCTGGTCCGACTTCCTGCCGGTCTGAAAGGAGATGGCAGACTGGCTTCCTCGGCTGGTTCCTGCCAATGATGGAGCTGTTCCCCGAGCTGGTTGCTGCAGACTGTGAGTCAGAGTTCTATTTTTGTATATGACCTGGCCTTTGTCCTTTTATATATTCAAATTCTCATCAGCAAAACGTATGTTAGGAATATCTCTGCAGTACTGGAGCCAGTGGACTCTGGGCACACCCCTTTCCACCTGCCTCTGGCTGACTGTGTCACTTAAACTGTATTTCCTGACTTCTTTTTAACCCTCGGCTTCCTTGTCTGTAAAATGGAAATACGGAACGGCTAGATGGTTCTGTGGGGAAAGGCGCTTGACACTGAGTTTGATGAGCGGAGTTCAGTCCCCAGGGCCTACATGGTAGATGGAGAGAGCAGAGTCTTGAAAGTGGTCCTCTGATCTCCACATGTGCATCCTGGTATGCATGCGCCAACACACATCTGCACAGCTAAACAACCAGTCAATACATGTAATTCTAGTGGAGATAGAGCCGGAAACTGTAATAAGGTCTAAACAGCAGTGTCCATAAAACTCGCCTGGAACATGGGGTGTGATGAGTCACTAGCACCTGCTTTTAGTGTTGTCTTAACCAGTGTCTTACCTGATTTAATGCAGCAACTTAACCCGATAGAGGAGATGAAATTCCAGAGAACGACATCCCAGGGGAAGGTCTGCGAAGAGATTTGATAGGCCATTAAGAATAGATGGGGGAAAGATGTGAACTCTCCACACCAAGGAAAAGCTATCAGCATAGAATTGCCTTTAATATCCTAAACATCTTAGGTTTGATTGATTACTAATCCGTCTGAAAGCGAATGTGCTCTCTTATGCGGTAGCAACTTGAAAAGGACTACAGGGAACTGGGCATCAAGTGCAGAAGGGGAGGTCCCATGCGTGCCTGGTTGGATGGCTGTTGGCCAACACAAGCTGAGAGCAGGCTCACTAGAAGCACTGTGTCCTTTGTGACTGGCCAGGGATGTACACTTGTGTTGGTGGAGCATTTGTGTGTGATAGCTTGCTCTCCAGACCTCTATGGTTAGCTAGTGGCAAGCTCCATTCTCTGACCTTCACACAGGTTTTATTTGTACAAGCAAGATACCAGCACAGGTTTGTCTAGCATACATGAGGTCTTAGATGCAATCATCAGTCTCACAAACAAAGGGAAGGGAGAGAAAATAATCTGCACACTTGTGAGCTGCAGGGAAAAGAAAGAATACAATAAAAACATCATGGCATCCTCAGAGATAGGCTTTAGGTTACAGGCAAGAAAAGCACGGTGCAGAGGGCAGAGACCTTAAGGTCAGTCAGAATTCAAGGGAAAGCTGAGCAGCTAAGTAGAAGTTTGCAGAGAGAGAGAGAGAGAGAGAGAGATTTAAATGTTTTTCTTCAAAGCATAGCACAGAGAGATAGATATGTGGTTATAAAAATAAAATTCTTTTTAAATCCAGCAGTAGCAACAAAAAGTTCATACCCTTCGAAGCACATGTTCCAAATTCCCTATGAACTATTGACGTCATTTGAACTCTTAGAGGGCCATTGTATCTTTGATATTTTTCACAATCGTTTTCAACTTTCTCTCAAGTGTTAAGTCATTTTCTTGTGGGAGAAGTTGTTTTACAAAGGCCAAGTGTTCTGTTTTGAACAGAACCGTACCTGAAGTCTTGACTCCCAAAGATCCTAAGGACTTCCGCTAAGCAGCTCCTGCTGAGAGCTTTGTCCAGACAGCCTGAGTTTGTGAGAAAAGAAAGGAGGCTCCCACTGGAAATGTGCGCTTGATTTAATAAAGAAGTCTGTACCTTCTGTTCTGTGCAAGTTGTTAATAAATTGCATTTCTTCACTTTACAAAGTACATTGCTAGTGTGGTATTTTGGTTCGTGGTTTATGATAGGTGCTATAGTTTCAGGGTTTGAATTTGGGTTTCATTAATCCTTAATTCATCCCGCTAATGGAAGGCATGGAATTGTCTAACCTTGGTGCATACTGCCCTCTACTGGAGGAAATGAGGTCTCTGTTTTGCATAGCTTGAGAATACATTGGATGCAAAACGACAAAAGCAGGCTTTCCAGCTCCTGTGTCAGGAAGATACCAGGCCCTCTGATCATACTGAAGGATGAAAAACTTCAGGAGTTTATGACTATACATCTGTTAAAAATCCAAGGACAGCATATGTCTGTCTGGATTCAGAAGTCTGGCCAGAAAACTAAACCCCAAGAATGAGGTAGACAGGTGAATTTCATCTCAACAAATTGGTGAGGGAATTCAAACCTGGAGAACCAAGGAGGCTTCAAGAAAAGGAACATCGCACACTTAATGTGTAGAACAGTTCCTAGAAGCCTCCAAAGCCACTGAATTGTAAAATGTGTGGCTTGCAATTAAAGGATGCTTGAATGAATGGAATGCTGTTCTAGAAATAAAAGGCTTTTATGAGGAAGGAAGGAAGGGAGGGAGGGAGGGAGGGAGGGAGAAAAAGAAAGAGAGAAGCTAGTTACAAGAGCCAAGTTATGGAATCAGCCTAAGGGCCCATCACCAGATGCATACATAAAGAAATGCTATACACACACTAACACACACACTAACACACACATACACACACAGTCACACTCACACACATACATGAACACACACTCACACACTCTCTCAAATGCCACACACACTCTTACACACATACACACACACTCACACACACAGTGGAGTTACCTTCACTCATGAAGAATGAAATCCTGTCATTTAGGAAAGTGGATGGGACTGAAGGTCCTTGTATGAAGGAAGATTCAGAAATACCTATGAAATTTGTTTTCTCTCATGTACAGATTTGAAATGTTTAAAAAATAGACATGAAAGAGGAAGGGAGTTGTTTAGGATGAGAAAGGATCCAGCAGTAGAGATATGGAAGATAATAAAAGGTGATGAAAGGAGAAATGTAATCAAAGCATATTATACATGCATAATACACACATGAAATGCCATAATGAAATCTACCATTTTGTATAACTAGTATGTGGTAATAATGAATTTAAATATAGTCCAGCAGCAGTAGTGGCACATGCCTTTAATCCCAGCACCCGGGAGGGAGAGGCAGGCGGATCTCTGAGTTCGAGGCCAACCTGGTCCATAGAGTGAGTTCCAGAACAACTAGAGCTACGCAGAGAAACCCCCACCTCAAAAATAAACAACAAAAGTTAAATATATGTGTGAGGCTTACCACATTCTCTCCCATCCACCACAAACCCAACCTACTGACAGATCTTGTAAATAAAGTTTTATTGGAACCCATCCTTGCTGGTCCTTCACACGTTGACTGTGGTTGTTCCTAAACTACAAGGGCACAATTGAGTAGTGGGAAGATAAAAACAGCAAAGCCTAAAACACCACCTGACCAGTATGTAAAAATGATTATCATCACCAACTCTAAATGGCGGGATGCCTGGGAGAGCAGCATGGGTGCATTTCCATGCGGCACGTGACGGCCATGTAACGGAAGTGAGACCAGCCTTCCTGTCTCAGGCCACTGAGGCTGTGGCATGGTTTTGCCATACCTGCAGTCTGAATCTAACCTGACTATCTAAGCACAGGGTGAAAGTAGATTCCCTGACAAAAACAGAAAAGTGCGTATCCAGAATCCAGGATGCCTTCAAAGAAACCCTGCCGACATCAATGACAGAGGATATGTAAATTCAATGTCATTGCCATTGTTCTTTTACTTGGTGGGAAGTAAACATGATCCCCACATGCAAATGAGACTATTATCTGTTGAGCCAGACAAAGGCACAATACCCTCACCAACTCCAAATGAATTAATTTCCGTATCTAAGGAAACTGGGCCGGCTTTAGGTAGACACTATGTTCTATGAGAAAAGGGAAGAGGCTCATCACAGCAAATCCCAGACACACGCTGATAAATTCCCAAACTTGGACTCACACACTCGGGGGGACACACTTCCATGGCCATCTTGGCTCCTGAATCACCGGGCCAGCGGCAGTGCCTGATTTGTGACCTTCCTCTGTCCTCCAGCCCTCCATCGCTTCCACCCAATAGAGCCTTAAACCTGTCATCATTTCCTTTACTTCAACATTCGAGAGAAATGGTAAAGACTGTTCTACCAGGGACTTGCTATTTCGTAACCTCCCCAGCTGGTTAAGAAGGAAGTCGGTGTAAACAAATGCAGTTTCCAGGACATGTTAAAATGGCAGAATCAAAGCAATGTCTGCAGTCTGGGGGACAGAGAAGGACTGGGCCATCATGGAGGGCAGCATATCCCACCCCTAAGGGACTGGGACAAAGTCCAGGGATCCCTGAAATTGAACACTAGAACCACCCAAGACCTAGTTGGGAACTTAGAGGCAAAGAAAGTGCTCCCTGCCTGTTTCCCTCAGCTGCCAGCACAAAAACATAGCTCTCACCTCAAAGGGAATAAGAGATAGTTTATTCTGAAGCCAAACCTGAGTTCCATAGCCTGGGAACACAGACTCAGATTGCCCCAAAAACCATGTTCTAATGTGGTATTAGTTTCATGAAGTTTTTATAGTAACAGAACAAAGAAAGTCACACATCAAGGCATTTTTAAAAATACATTACTGGAGACATCAGGTAAGTGGGTTGCAGCAAAATGGGGACGTCTCTATCATGGGCCTCGGATGACAGTCTTAGTCTCTGAGTCAGTGGAAGCTAAGGGTCTATTATTTGCTAACCCAGGGGGGATTTCACCAGTATGGTGAAACAGAGGTGGGAAATGAATGGTATTAAGGGAGCCTAGACACCCAAGACAGTTTTTCTCCAGACCTACAGCATTCAAGTTCTCCAATCAATGCAGTTGTCATCTGTCAAACTTGTACATCTATCACATAGGTGTGGCCCCTTTTTTCTGGAAACGGGCTCACACAGCCATGGTACCACTTCCAACTGAACTAAACAGCCCCTCTGTGAACAAGGCAGGATAGTGAGCACTGAGGGGGTACAGCTCCTTGCTTACCCACTAAGACTAGAGACAGCCCCCCTGGACCCCAGTGCAGAGAGGACTGAGGTCCCTGCAGACAAATACGGGACTTCAAACGGAAAGGCTGCTATGGACCCGCAAATTGAGTCAACTGAGACTGGAGGTTGAGGCAGCTTGGATGGTGTGGATAGTGCACTTGGTCAGTCCCCTGGCATTCTGGGAATGCCCCCATACTGCTGGTTCTGTGGGCTTATTCTGCCCATGACTGTTTCATTCCAATTCAGCTCAGAAGGGAAACTCTTCTAATACAGAACTCCTCAGAGTCTCTACAGGCTCAGGGAGTAAGGAGGGAAATACAGACAAGACTGTCTTCTCTTGTCTTCACTTTCTTTTCTCGTTGAGGCCAGCCTTCCATGAGCTTCCAGGTTCCTTAAGCAGAATGAGCTTCCCACCCTCTTTGGGGAAAGTAGGTGCCAAATAATGAAAGGGGGGCAGCTGGAGAGATGGCTCAGCAGTTAAGAGCACATACTACTCTTTCTGAGAATCCAAGTTCAGTTCCCAGCACCTACATCAGGCAACTCACAAATGCCTGCAATTCCAGTTCCAGTGAAGTCTAATGCCTATGGCCTGTAAAGGCACCTGCATCCATGTGTATGTTTGTACACATGAACACACACACACATAATTAAAAATAAAGATAAATGTTGTTTTAGGGGAAAGAAAACAGAGCATGAGGCTTGGAGGAGTTTCAGCAGAGTCCAGCATATTGGTCTTAGCAATTGCCTAGGCTTCTTCGGGTTCACAAATTACTTCTAGCTATGTGATCACCAAACATATCAGAACAACAAGAGTTTAAAGCATTTTAAATGCAAATGAAGAGCAGCATGACTACCCTACTACAGACAGCGTAGGAATCCATGGTCATGAATGAACATTCCAGAGGAAGACCTAGAGATGAAAAGTGACACGCTCACAGAGTCATCAATATAACAGAAGCATTAAACAAGTGTATATAACACAGAGAGAAACCATGAAGAGTCTCCATACTGAGCGCTTAGTATGAGTCATGCATTGTTCTAGGAACTAAGGCAGAATCCACAGACTATAGCCCATAGCCACACTACCTAACTTGTCATGCACAGTGAGCCAAGCACTATTTATACTTTTAAAACAAAGAATATTACCTTTTAAGAAAATATTTATTTTTATTTTATGTGTATGAGTGATATGTGTGTATGTCTGTGCACCATGTGCATGCAGTACCCACAAAGGCCAGAAGAGGACATCAGATCTACTGGAACTGGAGTTATAGTCCTTGCAAGCTCCTTTGCGGGTGCTGAAAATTGAACCCAGGTCCTCTGAAAGAGCAGCCAGTGTTCTTAGCCACTGAGCCATCTCCCCAACCCCAATATTACCTTTGTGGAGGGAGCAGTTGCACAAACAATACAGTTCATTCCCTCCTTGAGTTGTAACACTTCAAATATTTGCCAATACTTTTCAGAAGAGCTGTTTGCTCTCCTATGTTCTGAAAGTCCAACCCTGAATAAGAAACAGCCCCTGCCCTCAAACAGCTCACACTGGCAAGTAAGTTATTCCATCCCCATCATAGTTCTTTGTCGCTCCCAGCCTCACATTTTAGAGTTAAGACAGAATGTGAAGAAAACTCCTGGGAAAAGTTATAAAGATTAATAAAACAGTGAAAGAAAGAATTTATGAGAAAAGTTTAAAGCAATATAGATTATTTATTCTCAAGGAAGGAAGTCTATGGTGAGACTTAGGAATAGTCTTCAAATATTTGAAGGGATATTATTAAGCAAAAGGCTTTTTGATTGTGGACATAAAGATTAATGGAACATAGGCTAAAAAAATTTTATTATAGAGATGGAAGAATCTCTGCTGGAAAGCTTTTAAACATCTACAATGCATTGAGAAATCCATTTTCCTTAAGCCTCTCAGTCTGGCATATTTTCTCATATGTCTGAGAGCTCTCAGGGTTGTTGAGAGTTGTCTAGGCTCAAGGTGAAGGGTAAACTGCCTGTCATGGATCTGGGCTACCTCTCTAATTCTTTCTTTCAGAAGGAAATCCTTTTCTCTCTCTAGACACCAGTTTCCATCCCTCTTGCAAAATAAAAGCCTGTGACTTCTAGACGCAAAACTTGAATGAGTTCAACAGCCAAAGAGAGTAAAGGTGCTCAAATAATGCCACCTGACAAGGCAAGAGGCAGTCAACACTGCTCTTTTTTTCCTTGACACAGAGAGAGAATTTTAGACTCATTATTTAAGTTAAAGGCAACTATTAGTAGGGAAAAATAAGGTAGGTTCATTGGAGGAACCATATCCAATGATTTGAGCAAATAACTATTACAAGAAAATACTAATGAGGCATATTAAGAGAAACGTAGGCCGGGCAGCGGTGGCACACGCCTTTAATCCTAGCACTCGGGAGGCAGAGGCAGGCAGATCTCTGTGTATAACGATACTCGATACTATATAGGGAAAACAATATATTTATTTACCAAAGAGAGAGAGAGAGTCGCACAAGCTGGGAGTCAGAAGCATGGCTGGCTTCCAGCAGAAAAAAGGGAAGCCCCTTTTCCTTTCACTTCCTTTTATCTCTACCTTGACCCCGCCCTGTTGGGCGGGTAGCTTTGTGGCATTGACTCCTACCTCTGTGAGTTCGAGGCCAGGCTGGTCTACAAAAGCTAGTTCCAGGGCAGCCTCCAAGGCCACAGAGAAACCCTGTCTCCAAAACAAACAAAAAAAAAATAGAAGTTGAATTGAGACTTAAAAGATCATGACACCCCACAATTATAATCCACACAGGTAGGCTATAAATTCCTCTTTAAAAGATGTACATACTTACAAGGGACCCAAATTCAAATTTCGGCCATGTACCATGTAGTAGAGCACACTGAAAACCCAATGAGAACCAGGTAAACCACAGAGGGTTTTAATGCAGAACTTGGCTGGTCTTAGGTGCAGTGTAGGCTTTTGAATGAAATGTACTGATGGCAGCAATTTGTCATGCCATGATCAAGAACATCAGTGGTGCCGGGTGGTGGTGGCACACACCTTTAATCCCAGCACTCAAGAGGCAGAGGTCTATAGAGTGAGTTCCAGGATAGCCAAGGCTGTTATATTGAGAAACCCTGTCTTGAAACACCCCCCAAAAAATCAATGGTTTTATAGGTAGAGAGAAAAGGGGGGATCATAGATACTTTGTAAAAGAAAATGTAGGGAGGGAGAAAACCTACACATCATCCTAAAGTGCAGAAGGATCCCATCCCACGTAACTCCCCCCAGTACGGCAGAGTCAGCAGAGAGCACTGCTCCCAGCTTGGGATGGATGCCAACGAGAAGCAGAGCTCACTCTCCAGGAGCACCATCTCCCTGTCTTCAGTGTTGATGCAAACTTCAGTGAAACCTTGGGTAGGTGCCAGGCTGTGCTGGATTCTGCTGGAAGCCAGCGATTGGAGGACACTGGTCTTTGCTGCTCCATCCAGGCCTAGTACTAGAATCTGCTTATTTTTCTCCTGTGAAATTAAAAAAAAAAAACAGTAAACTCAAAAAAGAAGGAAAACAGTCATTGTAGAGGTTAGGAGGTGAGCATGGCAATGCTTCTGAGTAGTTGGGTACATGTGAAGTTTATTTTAATAAAATTGGGGGGCAGATAAAGAGTTGTCTAAGCTAGACACAGGGGTGTGGGGATGGGGAGGCGCCTTGGTCTCGGCTCGGCAAGATGATGGGACAGACTTAGTAGACTTCCTAGGGGAGGCCTTACTCTCTCTCCGTGGAGCAGATATGGGGAGTGGGAGCAGTGGGGGGAGGAAAGGAGGGAGGGTAAACTGGGATTGGAATGTAAAAAATAAATTAATAATAAAGCATATTTACCAAAAAAAAGAGTTGGTTAAGAATAAGACAAATAAATTATGCTAATCAGCTTCCTGATGCTGTGACCAAAATACTTAAAGGAGGGAGAGTTTGGAAATGGGTGGATGACTCAGTCCATAAAGTGCCTGTCTTGAAATCACGGGGTTCTGAATTAAGATTCCAAACCATAATTTAAAGATAGTTAGGCTCAGCACTGCACA